TGGTCACATAGAATTGGACACAGTAAACGCAGGGGTGAGACCAGGGGTTCAGATGGCACCTTCAACCCCAGCACCTTCTTCACATAACAGGTAAAAAAAATTAAAAATACAAGAAATAAAATAAAAATAATAACATTTTACCTTAATAGGCCATTTTGGCCACGTGAAATTGGACAAGTAAGTGCAGGGGGTGAAAATATTAATAATATTCTCTAGATCATACTTTTTTTATTATTGACTAAAATTTATTAAAAATTAAATTTTTTAATGAATTTCATTGATAAAATAAAAAAAAGACATTAAATTAGACATGAATTTCTCTTATTAGAGAGAATATTGTTAGCATTTATCTTATTCAATTACATGTGTATTATTTTCTTTGTAATTATTTAATAAATATATCATCCATTTAATAGGTTTTGTTGTTATAAACAATTTAGAGACCTAAATATATTATATTAGTTTCTTTCATTCTAAATTAATTTCTGAGATATACAAGTGTCCTACTGAGTAGTCATTGGTTTGAATATAATTGAATTTGATTTTTACTAATATTTTAATTCAAGTCTTATAAAAAAAATGTAATTAGAATGATATATCATATTAAAAGTGATCAAACAAATTTTTTAATATAAATTATTTATCGATAAAATTGATACATATGGGAAAAAATTATATGAGAGGCTTAATGCATTTGGGAGTTGAAGATCTTGCATCAGAGTACTTATAGTCAATTTCAAGGTGATTGTAATTAGGGGTGTGCAAAAAATTCAAATTGATCTAAACCAATCCGATCCATATTGAAAAATCTGATCCATTTTGGAAAAAAATCCGAACCGAACCACTTTATAAAATTGGTTCAGTTATCTGATCCATTTTTATAAAGTAGATCAGTTCGGTTCGATTTGATTTTTTAAAAAACCGATCCATATATGAGTAAAAAGTGAATAACTACACTGTACGAAACTGATCCAATTTCAAAAAAATCAATCCATATTTTGAAAAAGTCAAACCGATCCACTTTATAAAAAATGGATCAGTTAACCGATCTATTTTTATAAAACGATTTGGTTCGGTTCGGTTCAATTCAGATTTTTCAAAAATTGATCCATGAACACCCCTAATTACAATTGATATAATATTATATTATATTTAGTTTTTTTTTTATTAGTTCACTCACAATCGTCATGTTCGTAATTTTGAGTCCAACTAAGTTATGATACACAAGAATACACAAATTTTGAAGTCACGAGTGCCTTATGAATGAGATAGCTCAAGTATAAGGCCGTCCATGTTATGGTATAAGAGTTACAAGTCCTTACAATAAAAAATAATAATTTAAATTAAAAAATATAATTTGATATTAGCATCAAAATTTATATTATATAATATAAATTTAAATATTTGTTTTATTTAAAATAAAAAGTTTTGACTTTGTGCATAAAAAAAACTCACTAAAATGTCATATTTAAATGACAAGAGGAAAAACAAATGATATTTTTTTAATTGAAAAAGGTGAGAATATGTAAAAGAGAGAGAGAGGTACAGTAAAAAAACTTTTTATAATAAATAATATTTTTTTTTAAATCATAATTTTATTTTTGTTATTCTCTCATTGTTTTCCACCTACCAGGAGACAATTCACCCTACTCTGCATAAAATTACACCCACGAAAAATCAGCAAGAGTACAAGCCTCAGCTAAAAAAGACTAACACTTTATTTGTTTTTTGCATAAATAACCGCAAAATAGTATCAATAGCCGAAGTATTTCCAGCTGAAAAATTTCTATTCGTTTGTTTAATACGAGATTCGTTAGACAATAAATTTTCAGAAAAAAAAATTGTTTGTAAATTTTTTTTTTACAAAATCGAATGGAACTACTGAAGAGAAAAGATAGTTTTTTTTTCCTTCTTTCCTTACACTTTTATCGTTCAAGACTCCTCTGTGTCGCATTCATAAAATTAATAATATAATACTAATTTTCTGAAATACTTAATTTATTGAACGAAAAACTAAGGATAAATAAATTAATATATCACATTTAAATCTAAAAAGTAAAATCTAAAAAGTAAATAGACTAAAACTAAGGCAAATTATAAAGAATATTAATTAATGCAGAAATATCTTCTAAAAAAGAAACTAAGTTTCCAATGCAATATCAGTAAAAAAAAAGTCTTTTAACTAATGTTCGAGATGTCACATTCTAAGAGAGTATTTTCGATATAAAGTTCAAACTCTTTCATAAGAAAATTCACTTATACATACATAATAAAACAAAATAAAACAAGAAAAAAGGAAATAAGAAATATCTCACTTCGATTATTAGTGTAAGAAATGGTAAGGTAATCACACATATGCAATAAATATAATAATGAATATATATATATATATATATATATATATATATTTATATATATATGATTCATCAACAATTATTTTATTCATAGCTTATAATAGTCAAGGCAATATTTATCAAGTCACGTTTTATAAAATTATCATACATCATAACAATATAATTATAATTATAGGCAATTATACAGATTATAAACACATTTATACCATAACAACATAATTAGAAAGCAAGGAACAACAAATTCACATTACAATCACATTCAATTTTGGGTTTAATCGCTCATGGATTCAAACACAAACAATAAAATTAAGGGTCAATCTCATCATCCCACTAAAACAACGAAATTGATAAAACTTAAATCTTAAACTAATCTAACCACAAAGTCCAGGTGGGAATAAATGTCACCACTAACTTTTTAATTTAATTAATTTAATGCATACAATCATAATTTTTTTTATTTATATTTTAGATATAGTAAATTTATTTTTATAACATGATTATTTTCCTCACATATTTATTTAGTTTTGTTCTCTTAACATTTTATTATATATAGATATATAAATTTATAGTTGCATTTTATGCACTAATTTTACAATTAGTCAAAAAATCTCTCAATTATTCATTTCAAATTACTTTTCTTTCATCTTTATAGTATAAGTTGTGTGTTAAAAAATATTATTTTTTTTGTTCGTCCCTGAAATATCTACCGCCGATAGCAGTGACTAATCTCCTCGCTACGTTGAAGGCACCTCAAAGGGTGGGATAGCTGACTCTAAAATTTAACGCGGCTGCATACACAAGACAAGATTTAAAAAATATTATTTAAATCTTAATTACATTAAATACAAAATTTATTGCTATAATAAACAAAAAATTAGAATTAAATTTATATTCTAACTACTTAACATGTGACAAATCATCAGCATCAATCAAAGTAATTAAGTTTGTTATTTATAATTAATTATACAATAAACTCAAATTTTTATTTAAAAAATATCCTTTTACTTTAAGTAATCATTTTATTTAATATTAATTATACTTAAATGTGTACGAAATATAGTTAATAATAATTAAGAGTATAAAAAAAATTATTATGATAATATTAGAAATTAATGATTATTGTTTATAATTATGACCAAATAAAAATATAGTATGTTATTTATAATTAGGAAGATAAAAAAATATGTAAATATTACTCTCACTTTTTAAAATTTTTGCATTTGTCACACACAAAATTCAGGATATGCTATCTCACTTCTACTAAGAAAACAAGGAAAGATTGAAGTTTCCCTCATGGTTACTATTTGGATAGCTATTAATAATATATTTATTTGGTTGTATTTGAATATGATTTGTATTTGAACATTATGCATCGTGTCCAAATATAACTAAATAAATATATTATTGAAATAATTATTTATTCAAATAAATAATATAACTATTCAAATAAAACAATTTTTTAGAAGTTATTTTATTCAAATAAATATGTTATTTATTCAAATAAACAATCATTTTGACATATATTTATTTGGTTATATTTAAATAGTATGCATGTTGTTGGAATCCAACCAAGTAAATATGTTTTGATTTATTTGAATGAATAATGAATAAAAACAAAAAAATTAAATTTTGGTACGTAACAAAAGAGGAAATTATAATCTTTTAAATTATATATTTTTTCATTCATTTAGATCAAATAAATTTATAATAATATATATATATATATATATATATATATATATATTATAAGCAAGAGAGATTTAAATTAAAAGGGAGTACAAGGGGTACTCCAACCCATTACAAGGAACACAAAAACATAATTATAAATAAAAAATTAAAGTCGAAACTATGAGAAATATAAATTTGGGTTATGATACCAGTTAATGTAATTAAAAGAACATCTAGAGACAGAACTAGTTATCCACTTCCATGAACGCAATTTAATGTTGTCCAACACTTTCTTGCAATCCATAACATATTGCTGAAATGTGATCACATTTCAATGAAGTCATAGTGACTAGATAATAAAAACCCAAAACACCAAAAAATAAGAACGTTTTTTATAAATACTAAGATTTGACCAATATAAATACCGCCATCTCCAACTAATTGGCCACAACTAACCAAGTATTAAAAACTATATGGTACATTAGAAAAAGATGAAGAGGGTCTTCAACAAATAGAGAACAAAAAGAACATAAATTGTTATCCAACATTACACCATAATGATTTGCACGGAAATGCATTCAAAAACACCTGCCAACAAAATACCAAACACTTGATCGGAGCCTTACTTTTCTAAAGACTTTTTATAATTTTTTTAAAATTAAACAATTTTATTTTCACAGTATTATTTACTTATTTATGCTCCCTTTGTTTTCTTCTATTTTTCCACTCACATCCAAATACAAGGGGGAAAAGAAATACAGAATGATGATTAGAAGAAATGCATGCATAATTAAAAGGTAGATGATTTGTTAGACGATGATGATTAGAAAAATTTGTTTAGGAAAAGGGGTGATGAGCAGAGCAGTACGTAGAAGGAGAAGGAGAAGGAGAAGGAGAAATAATTGAGTAAATAGTGAAAAGAAAGTGAAAGGGGGGACCCTGGGCCTGTGGCTTGGCGGTAGTAATAATATAATGTATTATCTCATTTCATTTATCTGTGTAGCTACCCATATCAATAGCAATAGCAATGTTACGCGGAATCTGAGTCCTGCCCCAACTCATTCCCAGTAACTGCTAACACTGACACCGTCAGCTACCCCTCTTTCCTTGTTCCTTTGCATTTTTCATTTTGCAATGCCAATCCCACTCATTTATTTATAACAACACCAACTCCACCTCTCAAGTCTCAAGCTCAACACCACCCAATGGGTCAGACCCTCAGTTGCACACCCAACCACCACCACGCCCTCTTCTCCGCTGTCCACGACGGCGACCTCCGCCTCCTCATCGCTCTCCTGGAGGCCCACCCCTCTCTCCTGCACCAAACCACTCTCTACGACCGCCACTCCGCTCTCCATATTGCCGCCGCCAATTCCCAGATCGAGGTAAATTCTTTTTCCTCTGCTTTCAATTCGCTTCCCCTTCTTCACCTTTTTCTTTCTTTCTCTTCTTGTAGATTCTCTCCACGCTTTTAGATGGATCTGTTAACCCAGATGTTTTAAATCGCCACAAACAAGTAACTAACTTACTTGTACTTGTGCTTTTTTTTTTTTTTGAAAAAAAAATGATATTTTTTGCTTACCCTTTGTTGTGTTGTGAATGCTTCAGACTCCGCTTATGTTGGCGGCAATGCACGGGAACATCGCGTGTGTGGAGAAGCTTCTCGAAGCTGGGGCTAATGTAATGTTTCAATTTCGTTTGTTTCGTCCGGAATTGGCATGGCGTGAATAAATTTGAGAAACTGAGGTGTGTGGTTTTCATTTTTCAGGTGTTAATGTTTGATAGCATTTACGGGAGAACGTGTTTACACTATGCCGCTTACCACGGTCATTCTTCTTGCCTTAAGGCTATTCTTTCCGCTGCTCAATCTAGTCCAGTGGCTGCTTCTTGGTTTGTCCTTTCTTCTGTTGTAGTATCGTTTTGATCACCAATTTATTTAGATGGGTTTATTTATTTATTTATCATTACTATTTTTTGGGGTTTTAATGGTTTTGAATTGGTTGCAGGGGGTTTGCTCGGTTTGTGAATATTAGAGATGGAAAGGGTACAACGCCATTGCACCTGGCGGCGCGTCAGAGACGGTCTGAATGTGTACATATTCTGTTAGATAGTGGAGCTCTTGTTTCTGCTTCAACTGGTGGATATGGGTAATGATCTTTGCCAAAAAAAAAAAACGGGTTTTGTTTTTGTGGAATGGACTAATTAATCAATTGCTATTTTCAGTTGTCCTGGGAGCACTCCTCTTCATCTAGCAGCTAGAGGGGGATCTCTGGATTGCATTCGTGAATTGTTGGCTTGGGGTGCAGATCGTCTTCATCGTGATGCATCTGGGTATGGTTCACTTTCTCACCACAAATTCTTACCAATTAGAAAAGGGGTTATTGGGTTTGAGACTTAGAGTGACATATCTGACTAGACATGTTTAATTTTAATTTGTCTAGTTTATTCAATTTTTAAGTCTTTGATGAAAATCTTTGATCTTATGATTCCACCCTTGTTTTGTACTCATCTTATATGGCATTTTCCTATTGCAACTTTCTAAATTTTAGGAAGCAACTTACCTCATTAACATTTAACGATTTGGCCGTTTATAGGTAGATTGGATTCATTGCATTTAACCATGCTACTTTTTCTTATTATATTATCTCGAATACCCGGGTTTTCCTTGAATGATGTTTTGTGTGTTTATGCAGGCGGATACCATATATGGTTGCTCTGAAACACAAACATGGAGCCTGTGCATCATTGCTAAATCCTACATCTGCAGAGCCTCTTGTCTGGCCGTCTCCATTGAAGTTCATCAGTGAGCTTAATCCTGAAGCCAAGGCTTTATTAGAACAGGCCCTGATGGATGCAAACAGAGAAAGGGAGAAAAACATATTGAAAGGGAGTGCTTACTCTCTTCCATCTCCTTCACATTCGGATGGGGTACCTGATGATAATATGTCTGAGGTAATTTGACACCCTCGGCATATAGACACTAACTTCTTGTGCTTTGCATCTGAGTTGAAACAGAGTATGGAGACATAGTTACCGAGAATTCGGTAGATTTATCATAGAAAGCAATTGGATAATTTTAAAATGATGCAACTTTTCAAACATCTCTGTCTAGTATGCTTTAAGAAAATTATATTTTGATACATTTTTAAGCTGCCCAATAATATGCATAAACTCGATGATTCTCCCTTGCCCTTTTAATTTTTTTTCAACTGTGAATTTATTGGTACTTGGACAGATGAAGTAGTTCTACCAGAACTTATTGGTAACCAACCAAATAGTAATAATGAATTTGAATTAAATTATTGAGATATAAGAAAAATATTATATTTTTCTTAATCAAAGCTGAGAGGTGATTATTTGGCCAAGTAAAATCCTTCTCTCATATACTTTTTCCCCTGGTAGCATTCTCTTTTATATTGATATTCTATTTTTAGGGACAATAAAAATTACACACTGATCGAGGACTCTGATATGGTTCAGGTTAGCGAGTCTGAATTATGCTGCATCTGCTTTGAGCAAGTATGCACAATTGAAGTTCAGAACTGTGGCCACCAGATGTGTGCACAATGCACACTAGCCCTGTGTTGCCACAACAAGCCCAACCCCGCCACGGCCTGTCTCACTCCTCCGGTTTGTCCATTTTGTCGAAGCACCATAACAAGACTCGTGGTTGTGAAGACAGAATGCCATGACGAAACTGATCAAGATAGTGTTGATATCAACTGTTCCAAGCTGAGCAAGTCAAGGAAACTCAGAAACTTGAACGACACCGGTAGCAGCAGCTTCAAGGGATTGTCCGGTGTTAGTTCATTCGGGAAATTGGGTAGCCGCAGCTCTGGAAGAATTGCTGCTGAGTGGCTTGATAAACAGTGATTATTGATGGCATTGGCAATTGCTTGTGGTAACCAATGATTCCATAGTGGCAAGATACGGTAACTACATAGGTGCTTAACCGGCAAGGCAAAAACCAAAGTTAAAAAGTGAAGGAATATTATGTAATTTTGGGAAATAAGCAAAGTGAATTGAAGTGAAGTGAAGTTCGTGGTAGGTACCAAAAAGAGGAGGGGATGTCATGTAATGTAATATTGTTGTAGTATTATTATTACTTGAGAATGAAGAAGCATCACCTGCTGCGTCGATGATTTTGGGCATCGTCAATAATTTAATTTAATTTTATTACACGTAATCCAGTAAAGTGGGAATAATTTCCCTCGAAAGTATAAGTCAATGTTATGGGAAAATGTATTGCTTATTTGCATCTGGTTTATTTCTTTGTACCCATATGATATAAGCAATAAGATACAAAAGAGAAAGACAAAGCCTTGTGTTGCTTGTCATGTGATCATGTCTCAGTTGGTAAAATAGTTTGTGCACTTCATTAGGAGCATGCTGGCTAATATATTACTCTTCTGTTGCGTCATATACTTCTTTTCTTTTCTCTTTATTATGTAAATACAAGTGGGTCAAGATCAAGTCATGTGTGACATATTTGGTAGGGCTCGTGGAGAAGTCACATGATGAAGCGTAATGGTGACACGTAAAATTGGCGTCGTGATATATGATTGATCCAATGACTGAATACCAAATGAATACTTGTGTTGTGTCTGGTGTAATAATTTAGGGTGGCCACCACTACCACATATACCAACCGGGTTTGTTGGGACTTTTCACACCAAAAACTGAAAACAGGAAAGAGACAGAACCTATAAAACAAAGAAGGAAAGTTGAGTACATGCATGGGCTTGGCTTGGCTTGCCCAGTGTACGTGTCATTTCTCTATACGCTGAGGTGCAGATGCATACGTGTTTGACCTGTCTTTTGAGGGCTACCTTCTAACTCCCAATCGTAGCCAGACCCACCACAATCCAAATGTTTAATTATTTGACATCCAACTCATTAGTCATGTCTTGTAATCAATTATCATCGGGGGAAAACAGATCATATTTATTAAAAATCAATTAATCATTTTTCGATAAAATATAATTTTCAAACTTGTTTCTCGAAATATAAATGCCAACTACTGAATCTTTTATAGAAACTCTAGTAACAATTATCTTATTTTGTAGTTGTTTTCTAAGAACACGGAGTTATTTTTGTGCGATTTTAAATTGTTAAGCTGTCGTTTACTTGTATTTTTCTTAAATTACAAAATTTTCACTTTGTTTACGGTCTATCTTGTGTTTTCAAATATTTGTACTCTACATGATGTGTCGAAATTTAAACTAACTAATTTCAAAATTTAAAAATATGGAATTTTTTTTATATTAATTATAGGATAATTTGGAATGTACTAAATTTAAACAATAGTATTTAAGAAAATAAAAAATAAAAATATGATACGTTCGAAATTGGAAATGTCTCATGACGTATTGAGGAGAGTAGATCCAGAAAAGTTAGATATTTTTATTTATGCCAACATCATGAATGTTAATTGGATTCTTTTGACAAATTTATCCCTCGTTCAAACTAAATGGCTGAAGCGGAAAACTCTCACATATGATTTTGTTCTCGAACAAGGAAATCTTACTACAGTTTAAAAAGTGTATTTGATTGAAATTTCAAAAAAAAAAAATTAAAAAATAAAGTATTATAAAAAAAATTATGTATTAAAAAATTTATTTATGTGTATATATATATATGAGTGTGTATGTCTATTTTATATATATATATATATATATATATATATATAAGTTGTGTGATATTTAATTAAGATAATTAATTTTTTAAAAAATATATTATAATCTAATAGTATTTAATTAAAAGTAATTATAATTTTTTTAGAAATATGTTAAAATTTAGTAATATTTAATTAAAAAAATTATTTAGAAAAGTATGTCAATATGAAAAGCATGAAGATTTTAATAAATTATCTCAATAAATAGATTAATTCACTCATCTAATAATTTTACTAAAATTATTGTTTGCATAACATTTTTTTCTTTTTTTTTCCTCCCTAGCCTTTTTTGCTTGTCTCTCTTTTTCCTCTCTCACTCTTTTACTCTCTCTCATCTTTTCTTTTATCTCCTTTTCTCTTCTCTCTCAATCTCTTCCCTATCTCATATTCTTCTTGTTTTTCTTCTTTTTTCTTCTTCTCTCTCTCTATCTCTCCTTTCTTTGTTCTCTTCTCATATCTTTCTTATCTAATAATTTTTTTTTTTGTCTCTTTTTGTTCGTTTCTTTAAGATACAAATCTATTAAAATCAATATTACAAAATCTTGATTAAAAAAATATTTTTAAAAAAATCTTAAAAGTCATTAATTTTTTATAAAATATTTTAAAATTTTACAAGACTTTTTTAAATTAAAAAAATCTTATAAAATCATAATCTAATACATCTCAAGATTAATTTAATTTACACATATTATATATATATATATAAACTTTTACTTTAACAGACTGGTTCTTATCAATATGGATAATTCATTTACCTCTTCAGTAAGAAAACTTGACTTAGAATTTTTATTTATTTATTATTATTATTATTATTTTTTTATATCGATGTCTTCCTTCCATTCTTTACTTCCTCATTTAACTCCTCCTTCCTCATTCTCTTTTTTTATTTACAAACTCAGCAGTAGTTTTTTATATTAATTTTTTTTTCAGATCACATGAAATCTTAACATCTAGGGAGCAAAAGAATTAGCGCCACATTCTTGCAATGATAGAGTATTTATGATCATTCCCATATTAAGATTTAGTTATTTCTCTGAACTTTGAAATTTAAGTGAAACAATTAATAATACATGTGTCATTAACTTATTTTTTAAATATCTTAATTTGGACCAAAACAATTTTTTTTTTATATACTTACGTTTGCTCTTAATTAAACTTGTTCATCAATAAAGTTCTTCATATTTAAAGACACGTTTAGATCTAAAAGTTTATTTGTGTCAAAACGTAAATATATATATATACTACATATATAAATTTGTTCTATCTAAAATATTTAAACTCTTGTTGTCAAAAGAAAAAACTTTAAAATCTTATTTTACTTAATGTTTATAAGTTAAATATATTAATTTTTTTTTAAAAAATTACTTATAAGTCACCTTCCAAAACATCATATCATATTATATTCAAAATTTTAAAAATTAAAACCTTCTCTTAATTGAAGGATTTTCTGAAAAAAAAAAACTGATAAAAATATTAAAATTTCTTATTTTAAAAATAAAATGCAATTAACATTAAAAATCTTTAGCATGAGTAATTTGACACTTTTTTCTTAACAAAAATTGAAATTGCGACTAAAAGTATCACGTTATTTTTAAATGTTCTGAGGAGAGTGATTATTTTAAATAAGAAAAACTGAAAAAAAAAAAAAAATAGGAAGCTCTCAGTCCGACACTTGTTCTCACCTTTTATGATTTTTTAATATTGTAATCCAATTAATTAATAACTAAAGTGTCCGTGAAGCCTAATTCCATCACAGGATGGCGACAGAAGGGGGAAAAATTGGACCCGCATAACTTTTTTCTTTTCAAACAAAATAAATAGTAAAAATTAATTATAAATAAAAATTATATATTTATCTTTTTTTAAACAAATTATATATTTGTCTAACATTACAGTACTAAAATATTAAAAATTAGAATTATTAAAAGTTCACTTTTTAACATACTTTTTATTAGTTAAAATTTTGATAATTTGATAAGTTTCATATTTTATTTAGAGAATCTTATATATATATATATATATTTTTTTTTAAATTTTAACTAAAAATATGTTGCTAGTACTCTTTATAAAAAAAATAATTAAATAAAATAATATTTTATTCTGTGTTTAAAATTATTTTTCTGTATTGAATATTAGTTTTAAATCTATTTTCTATTTTATCTCTTATTTTAATCTGTATGCTTAGATAAAATAATAAGGTTATATACCAATAATAATTATAATAATGGGTTGATTTTTTTAAAATTAAAAAAATTAATTCTAAAAAATATGATTTTTTTAAGAAGTGTATAAGAATTTCTTAAAAGAAATGCATAAAACTTATTTTTCTTTCTTTCTTAAAAACAATTTAGACAAACATAAAAAATAATAAAATACTGCTAATTTATTAAAAAATTATTTTTTTAATAAAAATTAAACAAAAATATCAAAATTAATACAAAGAATTGGATTGGTATAATGTAAAAGAAAGGTTTGAAAGTTGTTATAAAGATAAAATTATCCAAAAAAAAATTGTATACATTAAAACAGGTTATCGTCTTTATATATTGTAATAGATTAAAATTTATAAATTATATATACAAATAAATATTATATTTAAATTTTAAATTTTAAAATATGTATATATATATATACATTATATTTTGAATTTATGATATATAAATAATTTATATTATAACACAAATTTATTTTTATTTATTTATAATTTATTTTAAAATATAAATAATTTAATTAATAAATAAAAAATAAATTAGATAAGAAGTTATAATTTGTCAAAGAAAAATTTCTAAAAATAATATTATGTAAAATAGTATTTTGTATATATAATATATATAGAAATTGATTAAAATTTCCAAAATCGTAAATAATTTATCCCGAATATAATCACTTCGAAAACAAAATCCTTATAAACTTAGAAAAAAATACAAGATTTTAAGATACTAATTATATTAGAGATAATTTTAGATTCTTGGTTGAACCAAATAAAAGTATTATAATTAGGAAAAAAAAATTGAAATATATATCTGAAACCTTGAATTTAAAATGGGTAATTAAATTAAAATAATTTGAGTGCAATTAATGAAGATGCATGCGATGGTAGAATAAAGGATATTAGTAGCATGTATATTTTATAAACTAGTTACAAGTGGCAGGACGAAATATCTTGGAGAGTGGGTCATATTCAGAATCACATGTGGCCTCTCCTTTGCTATCAAAATAGAAATAATTAAGAATCTCGTAAGCTTCAGATTTGGATCTAACCTAAGTCAAGTGGTTGCATATTCACACGAATCCGGATAACTTAAGAGCGTCTCACCTACGCTACACAATACTAATCTATCTACTATGCATATTTTCTTATTGCTAACATCACAACGCCTTATTTACTGGATTTTTGTTTTCTTTTTAATTCTTTCAATATCTTTATTTTAAAAATAAATCAAGATTTTCAATAATAGAATACTTGTAAGCTAGAACTTAAACCCCTTTTTTTTAGACTAATATAATATTTTTTCAATGCACCATCATCAAATTTTTCAATCATTCAATTAATATAATCTTAAAATATAAGCTTTGGGAGTATAGAAAAATGACCAATCAACTAACTAAAATTAAGTTTTAGAATAATCATGATAAATTATTATCAAAGCCAATATTATATATATGTGAGATAATATATGATTGAATAGCGGTGTAAAATAATTACTTTATTGTTATTATTATAATATATTTTTAACATCATAATAAATTTAATTATATAAGCATTTAGATTTAAATAAGTAATAAACAGTTGTTTTTAAAAGAAAATAAAAGTTTTTTGAGACCTTGCATGATTTGGAGTTTAAGGAAAAAAAAACTTCAAGATTTACATTTTTTTTGAGAGTGAACAGATAATGTTGAGTTAAATATATTAAGGATTCCTATGAGTGAAATTAATCCATATTGTTAAACAAAATTTTGAGTTAGAATTTTTTTGATAAAAAAAATGTGAAAAAAAGTGGTTGATTAACTAGATTAATCAATAAAAATTATTTACAAAGAAATTCATAGTTGAGAATTGAGATGAATAAGATGATTATAAAAAATAATATTAAGGGTTTATTAGCTAGTTATGAGTGGCATACATGCATGGGTAATGTACCAAGGGGGAGCCATAGGGTTGTTGAGGTACGTGGATTGGTAATTGGGTGCAAGTCAGAGATGCATCTAATACATTGGACTAGATAATTGGGCTTTTTTTTGTTAGATTCGGTATTGCTTCAAAACATTTATTTTATTATTTTAGTAATTAAAAACTAAAACAATAAATATTTTATAATTTCCGCATAACATATATAATGTAAACAAAATTATATTAATACCATACATAAATTAAAATATTTCATAAAATGTGTCTTAAAAACATGTTAAAAAATAAAAGTAAAAAGGCGCTGTTTGAATAATCAAAGTCAAAATCTCATGTGATTAACCAAATCTTATAACGTGAATTTAAATTCTCATTTTAAATAGACATATTTTGTTACATTTTTTTAAACATATTTTTCATACTTATTCTTATGTTAGTTTTGAAAATTTCAAAATATCAGTAAATACTTTAAAATTTTATTTTCTGTTTTATTTTATTTTCATATTAAATTTTAATTATCTATACTTTAAAAAAAATATTTTTAAATTTATTATTTTGCTGCATTTTAGATTTTTATATTTATTGATTTTATTCGAATTAATTATACATATGATTCTTATAATTTTATTTATTCAATTTTTAAATTTCATTCAAAGTAAAAACGTTTCATATAATATATATATATATATAATATTTACTGATGTACTCCCATATTATAAATGAAGATATACGACTTGGAGACTGAAATTCCCACTCTCTTCTCACTCTCTCAATTAAACATTCTCAATATTTCATTTCTAATTCTCTTATTTGAATGTGCATTTATACGTACCACTCGTACAACTAGCAATTTTTTTCAGATCAAATTAAACTTTTTTTTAATCTTTATCAAATAATAATCTCACTTTAAATATACATTAATTCTTTGATCTGTATCTTTAAATTACATTTCAATAATTTCTATAAAAAGTAAAAAATTTATATCACAATTTCAGTTGTTCATTATCAATCTAAAATATAATTTTATATAAAAATATATTTATTTATTATGATTTTAATTTGATATGGTCCAATATATATATATATATATATATATGAAGTTAAAATTGTCAAAGTTAAAATCAAGACTAAATCATAATTTAAATTATTCAATCATATATATGAAGAGGAGAGAGATGTTTAAAAAGAAAATGTTGATTTAATAAATAAAACATATTTTGATATAAGATTACAACCAAGATTAATTTAGATACATATTCACTTACATTCAACGTTAATTTTAAAACAAATATTGTAAAATAAAAAGTTACTAAGAAAAGGAAAAGAAAAAAGAAAAAAAGACGGATGGTTTATGCCAAATTATAATTAGGAGCTAGCGAAAGGCATCTTGTGGACACATGCATGAAAACAACTCCACAAGTGAAGCAAACCCTTTGTTCTTCTCTCTGTTGCAATACTATGCCTTGGACTTAGGGAGTGTGGAGGAGCAATGGTGCCATTCATAAATAGTGAATTTTGTTCTGCAATGTTGGTTTCAGCCAATGCAAGCTCTTCATGAGGGCCATAAATAACAAGGCTTTGGTTCCTTCTATTTTCATTAGCAGCTCTTCTTTCCACTGCAAGAAACTCCCCAAGAGATGCTAGATTCTCTTTCTGCTTCTCAGCTTCAGGATTTCTACTACTCCTTGAGCCTAAACAGAATAACCATGATTTGAAATTGATGAACTTCTTCTTCGTACTCTTGAACACTTCACTTTTTGTTCCTCTTCTGGATAATTCTACAATGCTAGACACACCCATTAGGCTCCCAAGTGTGGTGCTATTGTCCGCAAAAAAAGACCCCGTCGACTGAATCAAAGACATATTTTAGTACCAACTAGTCCATATCACATATTCATATTTATGTTCCATATTTGCTTAATCTATGTGTATATTTAAAACTCAACCCTAGGCATAATTGTTTAATTACTGTATGACTTTGATCAATCAATGTTGAACAGTACCACTTGAAGTGAAAAGGAACAGATGCGATTAATTAAAATAATATTGACTGTTTAGGGTTTAAACTTTAAAGTAGAGAGTACAGAGACGTTTCTTTTGTTTTAATTAGTTCTTATTATAAATCGTTAGACCGATAATACTCATCAACAAAGTACCAACTATTTTATCTACGTCCTTATTCTAGCTGCTACATAAAAATCAAGAATGATCTCGATCTATTGCTATTTTCGCAACAAAAAAATTGCTCAAGTTACGGAAACCTTCGATAAAATGTGAAATTCTTTAATAGGAGATATTTTGAATGACCAACACGCTTTAACTGATCATTCAAGTGAGTCCTGCTTTCGGATCGAATCTGATAATCTGTGACTTTCAGAGAGGCAATTACGGTTGCACAGCCAGTATTTGGTCATTGTTCTATGAAGTGCAACCAATACATAAACTTTTAACTTTGGTGTGGGAGAATTTAAGTCACGAACACTGTTATCTAAGATGGGAATCATTAAGGTAAGTGTATATATATCATTTATAGTTTTTCTCCTCGCAACAAGTTGTTCTAAATGGCTTTGAGAATTGATTTTTAATTTCATAGCATTAATAACATATCCATCTCTTTATATAAAATATGAATGATTATCTCATATGAAAATATTTTTAGAGATTTTTTTTAGATAAAAAAGTTTTTTTTTAAATATAATTTTATTTTTTGGTTCATGTACATACTTCATGCAGACTCTCATAGTTGACAATTTAAAAATTATTAAATACATTTAATTTATTAAGATATATATTTAATTATGTTTATTATAAATAATATTGTTTGACTTAAGAATTTTTTAAAATTAAAAATATTAAATATAATTAATTTAATTAAGATTTACTAATATTTAAGTAAAAATTTAAGTATTTTTTCTGTTTATAAAATCAAAAGAAATAATCGGAAAATATTAATGTAATGTTTTACTACTACTATAAACTACTAAGTAGTATGTATAGAGTCTCTCCTCGATTTAACTATAAAAAAATACCTAAAGGCAAGAATTCCTCGAAGTTAACCCTGGACAGTTTAGGCACAGAAGTTTAAGGAACTTTTTGTGTATCCAAAATTTATCATCTTCAAGGTACAATATATATATATTGAAGGCAATAAGGCTATTTGAAGTTCTAACGAGCTGAACAATCTCACCCAGAAGCAGAAGCATGCAGGACAAAGACAAAAATGACAGTATATTCTATTATAGTCACATGGCCTTGTGTCCTTATCTCATTCGTTATCATGCAGGCACGAGCGGAAACATGTTCATTGGTACCAGTAGAAAAGATGCATGCTAATTTGATAAATGATTATTCACAATTTTCATCATCTATTCTCATTTTTTAACTATTTTTATTCTATCAAAATATCTTTAATATAAAGTTATGTTTACTTTGTAGCTTACTATTGTTTTTCTTTTCTTAATCTTTTAATGAGCACTTATACTAATAATATTAACATATTCTTATATTATAAATTTGAATACCCAATTTATAAAATATAGCAATCACGCACTATCTTCATTACAAGTGTTTTAGTAGATATTTTTAATATTTTCTTTTACTTTTACTGTTTTTTTTTATTTTTTTAATATTCGGAGATACATTACTATTACAAGTTCCAAGAATTCTGTTTTTTTCTCTCCCAATACCCTCAAACTACACTCTTTTATTTCTATTCTAAATATAATTTTAACATTTTTTTAAATTGTCTATAGTGTTTTAAAAATAACTTTATAGCACAATCTTAATGGTTCATTAATTAAAAAATATAACTAATCACATATTTTAAAGTATTTATTCATTATAATTTTTAATTATAATTTATATATTATGAAGAAATATTCATTATAAGTACTTTTAATTGTATAAAAAATAAATATTTACTAAAACTAAAATATCAGTAAAAATTAATATATTTATCATATTAAGTTTGACACTTTTTTTTCATGAAAATTAAAATTACTCTTTCCGAAATTCTTATTCTTTTCTTATCTCTATAAAGCGATTAAAAATGGTTCTGTCTAACAAAATTGAACTTAAAAAAAAAAATAGCCTCATACGGGACAATTCGTCCTGACCTAACAATTAAACATTTTTTTAAGAATGTTGTCTATTTCTACTTTTACATAGTGTAAATGAGTTAGGTCAAATTAATGATTTGAAAGTATAAACCCTTCAAAATGTAGGGCTTACTCATCTTCCTTCTAAATCCTGGAAACAAATCTTTTTAGAAGAACTTGACAACCTCTTTTGGGGACAAAACTTGAAATCCATTATTTCAGATATCGCCAACTCCAAAATAACTCTACAATCAAAAGAATTGGTAGATCAACCTCAACCGATTCCCCAAAAACAGCCTTCTTCCTATCAACAAAAAGAAGGAAGATTCTATCCTACAATTCAAATGGAGCCCGAATTCTGGGATCCACACCCAAATAAAATTTGTGAAAAAATCTTTCCACCAACTTTCCTTTTCAAACCCCTTAGTCCTAATAAGACAAGGAAGTTTTATGAATTTATCCTGGTGGATTCAAAATCTGTTGCAATTAAACACAATTTTGATAAAAGTGATGACCAGCTTATCACTCATTCAACTCTTCAAATTCTTAAAATTTTAACTTTTAAAGATTTTGAGAAAAATCCAAACCAAGTTAAAAAAATTTCCCAGCCTTTTGACCCAATTGGTTATAATTACTGGGATTATCTTAATGCCTGGACACATGTCTTTTGGTTCCAGAATAAGAATCACAGGCATTCTTAGTTGATCTATTTCAAAAGAAATGTCCGATACTTCTTCCCTCAATGGTTCGTCGAATGGTGGGAGTTTTTTGGACCAATTCAAAGTATTCTTCCTCAAGATATAAAGGAAGGATATAACCAGTTCAAATAAAGATTTGAAGAAGGGACCAATCCATTTCATTCCTCCCTTCATTTCTTTTCAAAGTTTTCATTAGCTTGGATTTTTTCCTGGCAACACCAGTATAAGAAGAATTCTAAGCTTCTTCCAATCCTAGGCAAGCAAGCCTCTGTCAAATGGTGGGATCAGTTTGATGCATCCCGAGAAAACACCCAAGGAGTGGCTTTATGGTTTCAAAAGAATCCTAAGAGCCTTAAGTCAGCCGATCCAGAAACCTGCCAGTTTCTTAATCGGAAGGCCAAGATCGCGGTAGCACTTGCAGCATCAACCAGTGATGAAGCTTTAACTGCAAATCTTCATCAAATCCTTGATCTCTTACAAACAGACTCAAAATCAAGTTCATCCAAGGGAAAAACAAAGAAGGAAGTTTCCTCTCCTTCTTCATCTGGATCATATTTCCAGAACGAAGATGATTGCTTCGGTATTATTTTCGATGAAGTAGATACTGAAGAAGATTAACTCAATCACTGTTCATTTTGTGGAAGTGTACTGTTCACTGTAGCGGAAGCGGAAGTGTACTGTTCACTGTAGCGAAAATTTTTATTTTACTCTTCTTGACCAACTCAACAATCTTTTCATCAATTCCTCCGATAGTGATGAAGAGGATAAATAGTCATCTTCTGAAGACATTCAAGATGATGATGATCTTTCCTCTTCTGATGAAAGCTCTGAATCCCCTCTCATCAATGTCATTCACAATGATGAGCAAAATCTCCTTCTTGACGCATTAAAATCCATTCAAGATCCTCATGAAAGGGATGAGTCTCTTGAGAAGCTCAAAAATCTCCTTCACAAACCTAAGTCAACTTATTCTGATAATAGGTTTGTCAATAACAAGTTTGATCTTACTCAAACTCTCAAACATCTTGAAAAATCCTCTGTTAAACCTGTTACCATTCATGACCTCCAAACTGAGATCTGTTCTCTCAAATCCGAGGTTCGTGATCTCAAAAAGAAGCAACAGTTGCATGAGACCTTTATCTCTCAGATAACTGAAGCCTTTTCTGATGAAATGATTCAGGATGATCATGACAATCTCAGTAATCATTCTGACCAAAATACCAATGAGGACGACGATCTTTTTACCACCCTTATTAACCAATGTAACATTCAAAAATTCTATATTGATGTTACCATTCTTATTGACGACTTTGTCTTAAATACAGTCGCTCCATTTAATACCAGAGTCGACTCCAATTGTATTTTGGCTCATACCAACCAAATACTTTCACAAAACCTCCGAGAAGCTTAGGACCGCTAGTAGTTCTCGCCTTGAGATAAGGTATAAGCTCCCTTCGGCTATAATAAAAAATGATAGTCTCCAGGTTGAAACTCCTTTTCCCTTGGTAAAAAATCTTAAGAACGATGTTATCCTTGGAACTCCATTCATTAAATCTATCTTTCCGATCAATATTTCCAGCAATGGTATTTCTACTCAGCATCTGGGAAAAACCATTACTTTCAAATTCTTAAATAAACCTCTCATTCGGAGTATCAATCAAATTGATCATAAGCTCAATCAGATCAATTTCCTCAAAGAAGAAATCTCCTTCAAACATATTGAGAGCCAGCTTTCTCAAACACATATAAAAAATCGCATTGCAAATCGTTACGATCGTTTTCAAAACATCATCTATTCTGACTATCCCAATGCTTTTTGGGAACGTAAGAAATATATGGTTAGCCTTCCTTATGAGAAGGACTTCACTGATCGCCAAATCCCGACCAAAGCCCGGCCCATCCAGATGAGTCATGAACTCGTCATCCATTGCCAAAATGAAATCAAGGATCTTTTATCCAAAGGATTAATCAGAAAGAGCAAGAGCCCTTGGTCTTGCACTGCTTTCTATGTCAACAAAGCTTTCGAGATTGAGCGGGGTGCTCCTCGATTAGT